GGATTGATAGAGAAGGATGACGTTTAAGAAAAGAACCCAACCAATCTTTACCAGCTAACAATTTTTCTCTCCAAGAATTAGGTATAACTTTGTTATTTTTTTGCGAACTCATTTTTGGGTCTCATATGGCGTCAAGTCAAAATAAATATCTGCTGCCTTCTTTAAATAACTGGCTAAAGCTTCCTCTTCTAGATTAGTAAAAATTTGTCTATTTTTTACATATCCCACTGTGTCTAGGGTTAATTCTGCTCTCATCAATTTCGGATTCTGTTCTGATTTTTCTTTTAGTTTGGCCACGTAACGATTTAAAAGTCCAATAAAAAGTTAATTTACGTGTTGTTTTCGACTACATATTTCATTGGGGTTGGTTGAATAATTATTCAACCAGCCCTGAAAAAAATTGGTCTTCCAACCCTAGACGCCATTTTTAATTTTGATCGCATGGCTAGCCTAAACACTGCCGTTGACTTGAAAAATAAGATATGAAATATGATAAATGTGCCCTCATTAAACGCTAGGACTAATAGAAAAATGATTTACATAAAACGAGTAGGCATCAGATCAAAAAATACAATATATTAAAATATTACTTATGTGATTGAAATATGAAAAACAGCTCACTGTTCGAAAACAACGCACGATCGCGATGTGGCGCTTTAGACAACTGAGCGGGACGCGAAATGAAATGCTTGGCTATGATCAGATGACATAGTTCATATATTGTCGACTAGTTTTCGGTAGTTAGTCTACCTACCCCTATAGTCAACCATCCCCGGTCTGAAACACCTACATTTCTCTCCTTCTATTTTTTATTAATATGAGAAATTTGTACGAAAGGACTGTCAATCGAACTATTTTACAAAAGCCCAGAACCTCATTCACACAGGAAATCGAAACAAAACCTTTTTTGTATCGATGCTGTATTTGTTAGACTTCGCCTCAAACCCATTCAAATACAAGTATATTTGGTAATATCAGGAAATGTATTTCAGAACAATTGAACAGTGTTTTTTTAGCGATTTATTTGGTGTTTTAACAAATTATATTATTTGTTGCAGCTTGCATATCATCCCTTAATTTTGGACTAAGTTTTGGTTGGACGTCCCCATCCATACCCAATTTACTTTCTTCAAATTCAACGATAAAAATATCATTCGAAGAATGTTCTTATTTTCCAATAATACAATCGCTGTGTCTTATGGGGACATGTCCAATTGTGGCGATCCTGGTAGAAATCCTGGGACGAAAAAGATGTGCTCTTTTGTTATCCGTTCCTTACCTTATATCTTGGATTTTGATAGCAACGGCTAACTCGACACTGATGCTTAACCTGTCTCGGCTTTTCGCTGGTATTGGAGATTCGAGTGTTTTTACTGTTTTGCCGATGTACGTGGGAGAGATTGCCGAACCGAACGTTAGAGGCCTTTGGGGAAATATGGTCGGAATTGGGGTATACCTTGGTCAATTCATCATAAACGTTATTGGTGCTTTCATGTCCATACCCCATACTGCAATTGTATGCGCCTTAGGGCCTACTCTTCATCTTATCCTCTTCTCATTCATGCCAGAATCTCCGTACTTTCTTCTAATGAAAGGAAGAGAAGAAGCTGCGAGGAAATCGTTGCAAACTTTACGGTAAAATCAATTGCGTGCGTTATCCTGTATTTGTCCTTTTGTAATTCAAATGGCAAATGGTACTAAATTTAAAAAAAATATAACGTGTAGTTATACAACACGCTACCGAAGTGAAACTTCTTTAAACACACAAACATACCGGGATAGGGGTTAAGGAATTGGTTTGATGATATTATTTGTACACACATTTGTAATGCTGATAGTAAATATACTGTAGAATGTCTTTATATACAACAATCACCACTTTTTTGTCATTAGACAATACAAACCGGCCCCCCGACCGGTACCTCCGCGACCGCTATGTCCCTGCATTTTAAATCTGTAATGTCTTCGATAATATTAATTTAAATTACATGCTGTAAAGGGCCATATTGATCTATATTAAATGCACAATGTATTTAAAAGTACTTAATTGGATAAGGATTAATGGTGTATTGCTTAAAATCGCTTCGTAAATAAGCCATTATTTCTTGTAAAAAGTAAAGGATAAAAAATTGTTATTGTGGGTTATCCCTAAGAGATAGAAATATACCATCGCGGACTTTTTTTTAGACCTTTTTAAGGTGTACAATACTGTAGTATATTATTTTGATCTATCTCGTACAGTTCAGCCAGCGTTTGCAATGTAAGCGCAAAAAAATGTGTTTATGTACGACATCACATTACAAACCTCTAAAATTATCAGTGTTTCTCTACTATATTATGCATGTATTATACATATAAACCTTCCTCTTGTTATCACTACTCTATCTATTAAAAAAAACCGCATTAAAATCCGTTGCGTAGTTTTAAAGATGTGAGCGTACACAGGGACAGACAGCGGGGGAAATGCGTTGCATGATTTCGTTACATAGCAACTCGCATGAAACGAACTTACCCTACCGTGCGTAAAGAAGTTTCACTTCAAAAAGTTATTTGATATGCAAGGCGTCCCATGAAGTGTTATCAAAATCGGTTCCAAGATAAGTCATACTGGCAGATAAGCAAACGGGGATTTTTAACATTTTCTATTTTGACCCAAACCCCCACCCTTCTCCCTCAACATTGATAAATCCCAACCCGCCACTGTCAAAAATTCTAATTTCCAATCTCAGAAATTGCAAGTTGCTTGAAAACGTGGGACTTTTGATAAATACTTATTCAATTATCTGAATGACCCGCAAGTTTTCCATATGCAATTAAAAGGTTATGTAGCACTTCCGGGATCGCCTGTATTGAATACCATCAAGAATTTATTTTCATCTCCACAATGTATAAAATATTTTTCAGGTGGAAGAAAGACGTAGATGAAGAATTCATAAAACTAGAGAGTGACGTTAAACGTCAAATATCTGAGAAAGGTACTCTAAGAGATTTATTTGTGAAATCTGTGAATAGAAGGGCACTCATAGTAGGATGTGGTCTGAGAGCTGCCCAGCAATTTTCCGGTATGCCTGCTTTTGGAGTCTACACCCAATACATGTTCGAGCAAAGCGGAAGCGTTTTCTCAAAAAGCACATCGTCTATTATTTATACTGGAGCTTTACTGTTGATAATGTCTTCAAACATGTTTTTAATGGATCGATATGGAAGAAGGCTTTCCATGATGTTATCGTCTATTGGTTGCGGCTTGACATTACTAGTTCTCGCCGCGTTTTGTTACGTGGCAGACAATGAACTAGTCGATGTTTCCAGCGTGAGATGGATACCGCTACTCGGTATGGTAATATGGCTACTATTTGCCGGAAGCGGTCTGGGACTCGTCCCAATTCTGATGCTGGGAGAACTGTTCTCCGCAAGTGTCAAAGGAAAAGCTATCAACGTCGTGTGTATATTTTTCGCCGCATCGTTTTTAACATCGACTAAAGTTTTCCAAACTCTAGCTAATAATTTTGGACTGTTTGCGCCATTTACCTTTTTCGGACTCTGTTGCGTAGTTATTTTGATATTTTCGTACACGTGTGTACCCGAAACTAAAGGAAAAACACTCGAAGAGATTCAGCAAATGTTAAGGAGGACCAAATAATGAATACCATGTGAAGTTGTAGTTACTATCTTTCTACCTAAAAGCATAAGGTTCTTGCAATAGTGCATTATGTGCCACGTGACATGAACAAGTCTATGAAATAAATGGCGTTTTTATAGGATGAATCCGGTGATGCCGAATTCCCTCCCGCAGATAGTTTTGGTTAAAATACAGATAGTCAAATTCCCTCCCGGGTATTAGCCGAGTTCCCTCCCGTTCATATCAACTCCGATAATTAAGTTAACGACCACTTACCGATTTTATTTATCGAAAATAAATATATATTTATAGTGCACTTCAGTACTTCAGTAAATTAAAGATAAAATAATTTCAGAAAGAAAACACACACATCAGTTATGAAATGTTTATTTATTTAATTTTAAAATGGTTTCCCACTACCTTAACAAATTCAATGTTTGAAAATTCGTGTGCGCCTAGCTTTTTGATGTAATCATCTAGAAAAGCCTTATTAGTTTTAGTTTGTCCTCTTAACTATTTTTTAAAATTATATGAAACACTTCGTATTTTAACAAAAATTTCACATTGAAAATCTAGTAAAACCTTAGCAAATTGATAAAAATGAGGATGAGCCGAATAAAAACATTTGCTAAATTTAGTATGAAATGACTCACAATTAATAAGCGGAAGGAGTAGAAACAAATATTTGACTAATAGAAGGGTAGTCTGATAAAATTATTATTATTATTGTTATTGTGTTGTCTATAATATATGAATAATATTAAGATTAATATGTGATGTGAGGCTGTATTTAAACAACTCTTTATGACTTTATAGTGGTAATTAGCACTCAAGGTCCGCCGCCGTTGGGAGGAAATTGATGTATAATTAGGAAGGAATTCGACATACCGAAAATTTTAACCCTAATTAAAAACAGGTATATGGGAGGGAACTAGGCATTATCCGATGAATCACAGTTTGCGGGTATGAATAAAAGAGATTTAACCCCCGTTTAGCAGTAACGTACAAGGAACATTGGGTTTAATTACCACAACAAAAGCAATTATTAAACTAAAATGATTTATTGTTACAGCGAGACAGAGAAACTTTATAACATGCCTTAGCCTTTCAAGCGTGCTCCTTAAGTCTTTCATTCTTTTTGACAAAACATTAACAGTATCATTTAATTGCCGATTAAGAAGAATGCATTTTCAAGGCTTTTTAGAAGTATTTATGTGCATGCTTACTTGTTTTTTCGCAACAGTGTAACACCTATTTAGTTTGACTAGCTCGTAGAGATTTGGATTGACCTTACGAATTGCGTATGTATGTAGGTACTGCGGAAAAATTAAAGGGAGAGAAGGTATATGAAAAAGAAGTAAAATGAGCCATCTCGCACCACTCAATGATATATATGAACATGAGGGTAGTGACCTTATCGAAAGTCCCAACTGCTTCGGCAATGATGATGCGTGATACCGCGGTATATTCCCATTGCACCGTCCATACATATGTGACCACCATGTCCGTATATTCTGCATGTGAATACATTGATTTTCACTTGATATTTCCACATTGAACTTATTTTTGTATTTTGTAGTAATATTTTGCCAATCGAACGCTAACGAGTGCACATAATTACTAATCATTACGTACAATTGACTTGTCTACGTATCAGTTGTTTGCGAAGGTTACGAATAGGTATGTGTGTTTCGTCGAAAGCAGATCAGATAACGCGGTAAGTGTTCTGAATCATAGATGGCTCGTCAACTGGGGTACTTCTTGTGCACACCATTTATATTTCCTACGTTGTAGTACTATGAAGAGATACACTCTACAGTGCCTCCAGATGTATCTCTTCAAATATTCTCATAAGCTGGTACTGAAAGGCAAGCTGTACCACCCATCTATGCTATCGATAAAGCGAAAGCGTCCTTTAGGAATCGTGGAAATATGAATAAGTTGTGGTGACTAAAGACTAAAGAGATTAAGACAGAAGTAGATTGGAAGGCTACTTACAGGCTCTTCCTGCCCAGTGTTTGTTTACATGGTGTAAAGAAAATATAGAAAATGCCAGCAGATGATCCAGTGTTCTCTTTCTGTAATCTGTCCCTGGCATCGGCAACTTTTTTGTCTGCGGAGTAGATATTAATAAATATTAAGAAGGGTCAGTGGTATTTTCATATTAAGGCAGTCTTCTTGGGGAATAATAATACTGCTGCTGCTGAAGTTTAAGAATACATATATTAATTGGGCCCCCTCTCTTATTTAGTAGCTATTGAGCGCAAGTTTTCCTTTTACTCCCTAGCTCTCGCTAGTCAAGGTGTTACGGTCAGTATTAATCTCTGATTACATCTATACTTGCTATTATGCTATTATTCAAGATTAAGTTTTACTGTTGTTAAATTTGTCATGCTCAAAAGTTGTGTAAATAGAATAAAGATCTTAAACTCAATAAGAAATACGTAGTCTGATTTTCTTCAAAATCCCTCAATATTGTCCAGTGGTTTCCAACTGAGATGGACAGCTGCTTTTTAAACAAATCAAAATACATTCATTTTTGCCTTCTATAAGGTTGTTCGGAAAGTCATTTCGTTTTTTCCCGACAGAGGATTTAATTGTATTCTTTTGCACCCAACTTCACATTAAAGCCGTATAATTTTTATATGCTTTGAGAGCTCATATAGCAAGGCTTGTGTATGAAAAATTCCAATTAATTCTACGCAGTAGTTTTTGGTTGGTGCCCTTTTAAATATGGAGAGCGATAAGCAGCATTTTCGACATATCTTACTGTTTTACTACAGAAAGGGTAAAAATGCTGTTCAAGCCAGAAAGAAATTGACTGATGTGTATGGAGAAGGTGTGTTGACAGTACGCCAGTGCCAGAACTGGTTCGCTAAATTTCGATCCGGCAATTTTGATGTCGAAGATGCACCACGTTCGGGAAGGCCGGTTGAAGCTGATAAAGACGCGATAAAGGCATTAGTTGATGTGAACCGGCGAATAACAACACGTGAGATCGGATTGAGGTTAAATTTATCAAATTCAACAGTTTATGACCACTTGAAAGGCCTGGGATTATCCTCGAAGCTCGATGTATGGGTTCCCCATGTTCTCACAGAGAGAAATCTGTGTCGCCGCATTGACGTCTGCGATTCGCTTCTCAAACGTCACGAAAATGATCCGTTTTTGAAGCGCATCATCACTGGGGACGAAAAATGGGTTGTATACAACAACGTCAAACGCAAGAGGTCATGGAGCAAAAAAGATGAACCGGCTCAAACCATTTCCAAAGCCGATATTCACCAAAAAAAGGTGATGCTGTCTGTTTGGTGGGATTTTAAAGGAATCGTTTTTTTTGAGCTTTTACCGGATAACACAACGATTAATTCGGAAGTCTACTGTCATCAGCTGGACAAACTGAATGATGCACTTCAACAGAAAAGGTCAGAACTAATCAACAGGAAAGGTGTAGTGTTTCACCAAGACAACGCGAGACCTCACACAAGTTTGGTCACTCGCCAAAAGCTTTTACAGCTTGAATGGGATACAATGCTACACCCACCATATTCTCCAGACCTGGCACCATCGGATTATTATTTGTTCCGGTCACTCCAAAATTTTTTAGACGGTAAAACCTTCACCTCAAATGAGGAGGTCAAAAACCTCCTCGATCAGTTTTTTGCCAGCAAAGACCAAAAATTTTATGAGCGTGGAATTATGCTACTACCAGAAAGATGGCAAAAGGTGTTGGACCAGAACGGTCAATATATAATTTAATAAAGTATTTGTTTATTATAGGAAAACTGTCTTTCATTTCCACACACAAAAAAAAACGAAATGACTTTCCGAACAACCCTATAGATATAAAAATCTGGTTTTTACTTTGGGCCTCCCCTATTTGTAAACGTACACTTTAAGTTTAAAAATATACAGGGATGCTTAACTTTTGCTCCCCTAAAACAAGGAACAGCTCCCGTCCGGTAACAAATTTATGTCGCGAAAATTATCTGCCGACTGGACTATAAAGCGATTAATAATTTTTAGGCCAAAGAAGAAATAATAATTACGTACCTATATATTTTTTAAAGGAAATTTGTTATTTTCTTTTGTTTTAACCTATGCTAGTTTCAAATAATACATGTGAAATGTAACAGTTCGTAATAAAATTATTACGATCTGCATGTGTATACTAATAAAAGTAATGAGACAGCTGAGTTCATTTTCATTTGAAGCCATTTCTCATAAATTAACGCAAATAAAAAGCTATTATTAGTCCTCGATGCTCACTGATTGATTTAGAATATAAATATTGCCATTGCTATTATTGATTGACTCCAAAAACTCGCAATGTGCGTCATGAAATATTGGTATTTATAATTTATTTATGAAATATATTTATGTACATATGTGAGCTCCACGTTGATAGATAACAAAGAATAAAATTTTTTAGAAGTGCATAAAGCTACTAACAGATAACATATTTACAAGAAAGCTAACAAAAAAAAAGGCTGGGGATGTTTTTGTAGTTTATTTATCTTCATAGTCGTCAGCCCCGTCTTCGTATTTCCTCCTGAAATTGCCTTCTTTGTCGTATTTTTCGAGAAGTTGGTTCCAAAAGTCTCGGTGATTTTGTAGTATAAAGCTCAAAATTTTACCGGCATTCTTCTTCTGTATTTCGCTGCACTTCATACACTCAGTGGCTAAAGCATCACCTAGATGTTCTGAAATGTTAATATAATTATTTAAAGTTATATTGAAGACACGTACAGGGTAATTTAATGATTGTTTTCAAGATTTTACTGCTATTAAAGAAAAACAAAACAGAACACATAACATGATTACCATTTAAACGTCTCGCATATTCAGCATATTAAGGCAGTCTTCTTGGGGAATAATAATACTGCTGCTGCTGAAGTTTAAGAATACATATATTAATTGGGCCCCCTCACTTATTTAGTAGCTATTGAGCGCAAGTTTTCCTTTTACTCCCTAGCTCTCGCTAATCAAGGTTTTACGGTCAGTATTAATCTCTGATTACATCTATACTTGCTATTATGCTATTATTCAAGATTAAGTTTTACTGTTGTTAAATTTGTCATGCTCAAAAGTTGTGTAAATAGAATAAAGATCTTAAACTCAATAAGAAATACGTAGTCTGATTTTCTTCAAAATCCCTCAATATTGTCCAGTGGTTTCCAACTGAGATGGACAGCTGCTTTTTAACCAAATCAAAATACAGTCATTTTTGCCTTCTATAAGGTTGTTCGGAAAGTCATTTCGTTTTTTCCCGACAGAGGATTTAATTGTATTCTTTTGCACCCAACTTCACATTTAAGCCGTATAATTTTTATATGCTTTGAGAGCTCATATAGCAAGGCTTGTGTGTGAAAAATTCCAATTAATT